TTGATGGAGTTGCATTAGTCACCCCCTCTATTTTTAGTTGAATGTCGATTTGCCAAGTGTGAGTCATTTCCCTTCTTACATGCCCACCAAGAAAAGTCAACAAATATAAGAGATGGTGAAAAGACAATGAATTGCAAATGAGAGAGATTGTTATTTCAACGGTTCAATCCAATCCTATGACATTTTTGTTTAAAGTTAAGACTAGAATAATTATCCTGAATTTGTATTCTTGTAATGTGAATTTAAAATTTTGCCTACAGTACGTGAGTTGATAATTCGTTTTAATAAATCCCTTCGCTGTTAAAACTTTCATCATCTTCCTCGGCAACATTCTTTAAGTATGTTTGCCAAACTTCAAAAGTCAAATATCATGCATCGTTTAGAAGCTACAACTTCATATATTTATTCCAGTGTTTATAAACATTTAACCACCACCGAATCCAGCACTTGCAGGCCAGATTAATTCTATTATATAATTTAGATAAGATAGATAAATCCACAACAGATACCTCTTAATCGTTCCAGGTTTCATTATATGAAACATAAACCAATGGAAGATGCACATATAAATACTAATACAGGACTGGTGATTAATGGAAGAATTATTTGTGGATTATTAGAGAGCCAAAGCGCAAATTGAACATTTTATGTAAAATTTGGACCGGCCATCACACACAACAAAATGTTTAATGAGAGTAACGCAAAGACACAAATATTGCCACAACTAAAACTATTAATGTTTATCCGTGCAGAATCTTCAAGCTGACTGCCATCTTCAAAAGCCACTAAAGGCTTTCAAGTGACAAGACTTTCCTATAATCTATTTGTACATCAAGACATGTACATAAAAGATTACACCCCCTTACATGAGAGGTGTGAACCACTCGAATATTATTCAAATGGATCCCACCCCCATGGGGGGTGGTGTAACACCCTATGTACATTTTGATGTACAAGTAGCATCACCATTTTAAATATCAAATCCAGAACACAGTTGAGAGAGACTAAACTAAAACCTCCAATATACTATACTATAAATAAATTCACTATTAT